CACTTTAGTCTGGGCAACAGTGAGACTCCAACTCAAAAAAAAAAAAAAAAACCCAAGTCATTTATCTTCTTTAATCATCAACTTTCTCATCAGTAAAATGAAAACAAACCCAAAAAAAGATTTAAAGTTAGGAGATTATCCTAGATTATTCACATAGGCGCATTGTAATCGCCAGGATCCTTTTAAAAAGGAAGGCAGGAGGGTCCAGGAGAGAGGAGATGTAATGACAGAAGCAGAGGTCACAGATTTGAAGACACTACACTGTTGTTGACTTTGAAGACGGAGGAAAGGATTCTCAAACCACAGAATCTGGACAACCTCTAGAGCTGAAAAAGGCAAGGAAGCAGAATCTTCCCTAGAGTTTCCAGAAGGAATGCAGTCCTGTCAATACATTTTAGACTTCCGACCTCCAGAACTATAAGATAGTACATTTGCTTTTTTTTAATGTGGCAACTTGTTACAGCTGTTGTGGGAAATGAATATACATGACTGTGTAGTGCATGGTGTGACATGTGCTCTCCTCCAAGGGTGACACATGCAGTAGTTGATTTTCGTGGGATCTAATTTCAAGAGAGGTCCCTCAGTGCCTATTGTCTTCCTTTCATTTTCAAAATTTCTCAGTCATAATTTTCCTCGAAACACAGATGGCCTTCAGACATGCAATCACATCTTTTCAGCTGACACCTCCCACACGCGCCCCTATCCATTCAAGATTTCTTTAGCTAACAAGTTTATTTTTTCCAAGTCCTTCACACCCAAAGACAAAGTGATATCAGACTAGCCCGAATATAATCTACTTATAAGACATCAGACTGGAGGGCCAATGGATCTAACAACTTCCCATGATCCTCTGAATACCAGGTTGGCTTCCTTGTTGATTACATTTTCTCCACAACTGAAATAGGAACCTCAGCGATTAATGTCTCCTAATTCACTTAAGAGAAAAAGCTCTGCAGTCGATAAATGGGGGGCATCCGGAGGATGTGGCAAATGATTCTATTAGCAAAGGAAGGATGTAACAATTGCCTACTCGGAGCACACTCTTGGCCAGGAGCACACTCTTGATAACTGAGAGCCCCGTTGCTGGTTTTCCACTGTACAATGAGGAATTTGAGGCTCCCAGAGCCGACAGGTGGCAGAACTTCCGGTGATGCGACGTGTGATCCTCACTTTTCCACACACGCCATCCCTTAAGAGAACCCCACGGGTGGGCAAGAAGTTGAGCCTCTGGGATGCCATCACCCTGACTCTGTAGTATAGATATCAAGTCTGAAAAATAACACTCAAGAGTATTTGAAGGAGTCAAGAAATAGAAAGAAATGGGATGGGTGATAATTGATCCCTAAGCTTCATAAGTCTAAGTGAAGACTCTGGACAGACAAAAATATTCAGTCTGGAGATATGAATGTTGCAAGCTAAGTAAATCGGGAGACATCTATTAGCTCTTGATTTTCTGTAGTGAAAGACTTTATATGCTAATTCCTTTATGCCTAAAACTGCTGGCTGATGTGTGATGCTGGCACACTGTAAAGTTCAGAACCCTGGGGCAAAAGCACAGTGGCACAGTCTAGTTACAGTCCTGGTCATGGAGAAAGAAGAGACAGAAAGAAGCCGGGCTCGGTGGCTCAGCCTGTAATCCCGCGCCATGGGAGGCTGAGGTGAGTGGATTGCCTGAACCCGCGGGTTC